TTTTTTTTTTCCTGGGGTTAGAGAACACTCATCTTAAAGAGGACCAGACCAGTGTGTTCCCCACCAATGTGTTTTTAAGTTTTTTTTTTAATGTTGTAGGTTCCAAGGGGGCAAAAAAGAAGAACTTATTGGAATTGCATACAACAGACTAATTAGAATGGATGCCAGCACAGGAGATGCGATTAAAACGTGGCGTTTCAGCAACATGAAACAGTGGAATGTAAACTGGGAAATCAAAATGGTAAGCAACAGTGCCGCGCGCATACAGGCCTTCTGGTAAAAGTCAGTAGTGAAGACAGGCAGGCCCACATGTTCTGGAACGATTCCTACAATTACCTCTCACAGTACAAATTATGGTCAGCTATTTGTTTCTCACTTAAATTTGCTTATTTTATAACTAGCCCATTTATTAAAATTCTAAGGACATAATAATTTGCTTAGAATAAATACTGCCTAATATTTTCAAAAGTTGTTTTCTATAATACAGACCTCTCTTCCACTCATAATAGAAGCTACTGTTTACTGAATGGCCGCTCCAAGCCAGGCCTGATGCCGATGTCTACATTTGTTCTTAAGCCTCTTCACAACTCCTCTGGCAAATGGATTGCCAGGACTTTGCAGGAGAGGACACTGAAAGTTAGGGACCCAGGGGAAAGGCTGGAGGCCAAGAGTCTGAGGCCAGCTGGGCAGCATAGAGAATTTATCTCTACAGAAAATTGTAATAAGTAGCTGGGTGTGGTGGCAGGCACACCTGTGGTCCCAGCTACTCAAGAGGCTGAGACAGGAGGATCACTTGAACCCAGAAGTTTGAGGTTGCCGTGAGCTCTGATCACACCACTGGGCAAAAGAGCAAGACCTCATCTCTATTTAAGGAAAAAAATAGTAAGAGACCTGAGGGCCATCATTATCTGTAACAGCAGCAGGATTCAAAGTCTGATGCTTTGGGGCTCTAAAACCTGGCACATTGCCCACCCTATACTGTGCTGCCCCTAGCCTTGGAATTGCACAAATATCATTTAAAAAAAATAGAACCTTCTACTAATAAGTCATTTGGTTTAGGATCATACGGAATTTTTATTAATGCCTATCACTTAAGAATCTCATACTTCTGAAATACTGAAACATGATACTGAAAGGTTAAAAATCCAAACCAAATATTAAATAAAACACAGGAAGTCGGTTTTCCTCCCGGACTTGAAGAGGCATTCTCATTAATCGAGGCACCAGAGACCGTCTGGGAACTTCCTGACCTTCAGCCCTCACATTCAGTCTTCCCCCTCAGAACAGAAAGACTGGAAGGGGGCGTGGGAGGGGCTGGTAAACCGTTACTGCTTCTTGGACGTAAAGGTGTTTGTTGCTGGTTTGGGATTCTAAAGAGAGGTAAATCTTAATTGAGGATCAAGGAGTATGTGGTGACTAGGAAGACCTTAGCAGCCTGACAGGGTCGCCCAGAGCCGCCCCCTCCAGTCCCCTGATGGCTCTCTGTCCTTGTCAGGTCACCGTGGAGTTTGCAGATGAGGTGCGGCTGTCCTTCATTTGCACAGAGGTGGACTGCAAGGTGGTGCATGAGTTCATCGGTGGCTACATCTTCCTCTCCACGCGTGCAAAAGACCAGAACGAGAGCTTAGATGAGGAGATGTTCTACAAACTCACCAGTGGGTGGGTGTGAATACAAGTGTTGTGTGAGGAAACTCCGCGGCCATAACATATTTAACTTAAAAGCTGTTTGTTACATGCTGCTTAATAAAGTAAGCTTGAAATTTATCATTTTATCATGAAAACTTTTTTGCCTTATGAAACAGTTAACATGTGCACTAAACAAGCACGACTATTAATCTGCTATGGTCATACAATAAAAGATCTGCTGGGCTCGGCACCCGGCCCTCAGCGCCATGAGCTGGGAACTGAGGTCGTGGGCAGATGAGCAGCAGCATCACTGGTAGAAACCAAGCTGTAAGAACAGCCCGGGTGGAGTCTGTTCATCATGTCTAATGCATGTGTTTCAATGTATGCTTAATTTGATGTCATGTTTTAAAATATCCTACTTTTGGTAGCCATTTGAAGTCCCCAACCCACCCAATAAGTCAGGCCTACAAAAAATGCCTGATTATTTAATAGTCATCATTTGACCTTGAAGGAAAATGCTGTTAGTTCGTTATGCTTGGTTGGTTTTTGTCCTTGAATAAGCATGTGTGTATATTGTCTTGTGTTTTTATTTTTACACCATATTGTATTACAATACTTGTAGTATTCACCAGCATACTCACTGTCTGCCTAAAATATGCAACTTTTGCATTACAATATGAAGTAAAGGTCTATGAAGTATTCATTTGTGTAACTAATGTACAAACACAAATTTTATAAAATTGTACAGTTTTTTTAAACTACTCACAGCTAGCAAATGGCTTAAATGTAGCATCTTTGCATTAATTAAATGCCTTTAAAGATATAATTAATATGCAGTTTTAATATCTGCTAAATTAAGAACGACTTAATTATGGTCATGATTTGCCACAAGGTCCTTCCCTGTGATACTGGCCTGGCCTTGCTCTGGTCTGCTGTGCTGTTAGTCCATGTCGGTGCTCATCAGAAAGTGCCCAGCTCACATAGTCCAGAAGAGTGCCAGGGAGGGGTGGGTACCAGCATTGTCCAATACAATTCATGGTTTAAAGACTGTATAAATGCATTTTATTTTAAATAAAAGCAAAACTTTTATTTAATGTTTCTTGTTGTTAATGTTTTACATAGCACTAATGTTGGAGTTGGTACAAGTGAAGTTCTACCTTCAGGAAACACTTGCGTCCCTGTGTTGTGAGACCTCGGGAACACACACAGCATCACCACCTGGACACACATGGTCTCTTAGATTCATCTAAGTTGAGGACCTCTCATTTTTCTTAATACCTAAATGTTAGAAATGTAGTTATACGCAAGTTGACTGGGGCAGAATTTGTTTTAAACAGCAAAATGATCTTGGTTTAAAAAAAATAACACACACTTACAAATTTACTCCTAGCTGTGAAGTGCCACCATCACTCAGATTCACGGTTTCAGTCCTTTCCCTATTGGGTGTAACCGGCCAGTTCCCTCTTTCCCTTGTGGGCACTGTCACCATTGCCCAGTGCAGTTCCCTGTCACATGCCTGCCCTGGTGTGGACTCCAGTAAAACAAGGCTCTGACCATTGTACTCTAAAGCCATGTCCTAACAGCCCTTGCTCCAAAATTTAAGAATTCCTTCCTATCAAAGTTTTTTTTTTTTAAATAATATATTCCCTTCCCTCATCTTAAGTACAGGCCACTAACTGGTACAGTCACTTGCTAAAAGCTCTAACAGGTGTTTGAGACCACAGCAGGGTCAGGTCTTCTCAGGTCCCACTGCTGAATACCCGTGACAGTCATCGATGCTGGTTTTTCCCTGCGGTATGCCCTGATGCTGAGACCGGTCCAGCCCTGGCTGCGTATCTTAATTAATGACTCCTTGTTGCCTGCAGGACTGAAAGCCACCTGCTCAGCGGTCTTCTGTCGCCTCTCAGCTCACATTGTCACCATCTCTCTAAGCTCTTTCAAGTTTCCTTGAAGCCAAAGATTTCCTCTTCCTCCTCTAACCCGCCATTGAATGTGGTCCTTTTGTGACACCCTTATTACGGCTAAGTATATCCTAGTACCCTAGTACCCTAGTACCCTAGTACCTAGTACCCTAGTACCCTATTAACCCATAAGTTAATGCAACCTTGGGGACTAGGTCTGTGTGCCATAGTTTGTGTGGAAGATCAGTTAACACTGTTTATTGAATATAATATTTTAGAAATCAAAGATAATTAGAACTTCGATTTTTTTATAGCTTCAGCATAGTTTAATACAGAGGAAACTTTTTGCACACTAACTATACATTAAGAAACATGTTAAGTGTTTTTATATTCCCTCTGAAGGATTCATACAATCCAGACCCCTCATTTTATAGGTGAGGCTTAGAGAGGCCAGGGGACCTGATGAAGGTCACATAGCTGTAATTACTGCCAAGGGAGAAATAGAAGTGGAAACCATGCAACCCCCACCCTGTACTGTTGAACCCTTCATGAATCCTGAGGAACCCTGAAACTGAAAAACTAGTGCGGTGGCCTCTCTACAAAGGCAAGCCTGGCTGGAGCCTCCAGAGATCTGTATTCAGGTTTCTACTCTGAGTCAAGTTCTCGGGTTATGAAGGTGCTGGTGAAGGACATAAGCTTCCTTCAAACTCTTTCTCTTAAATCAGCAGATTAGAGACCTACTGATGCAATTAATCAGGAATCTTAGTACACAACCTTGAACTTCAAAAGTCACAGCTCTAAATGTGAACTTTGTAAAAGAAAAGCCACTTGCAGTTCTGGACCCTCCGCTCTTACACAGGCCAAAAAGCAAAGATGTGGCAGACTGCACTTTTTCCATTCTGTATACTGTAGTTTTTGTTTTTTAATGTTAAAAGTCTTATTAAGGGGGCAGCACCTGTGGCTCAAAGGAGTAGGGCACCAGCCCCATATGCCGGAGGTGGCGGGTTCCAACCTAGCCCCAGCCAAAAACTGCAAAAGTTAAAAAACAGTCTTACTAACATGCTTTTTACTAGTTATCAGTGATTAGTGAGATCAAGCCAACCTGGTTTCCTATTAACATGCTTTTTACTAGTTATCAGTGATTAGTGAGATCCAGCCAACCTGGTTTCCTGACCCGATTTATTGAAAGAAATAAAAACAAAATAGGGTTAAGTAAAATGTTTACAGTTCTCAATGCTACATTGAAGATAGCATCTTCTCAGTAAAAAGTTAGGGGTTTTTTTTACTCAAAACCATTTTCTTATCCTGTGTACATCTGTGCCTTTCATAACAATTCTAAGGCCTACAATTAAGTTTGGCAAGGGATGCAGCTTTTTTTTGTGAGGCAGAGTCTATGTCTCCCTGGGTAGAGTGCTGTGACATCACAGCCCACAGCAACCTCAAACTCCTGGGCTTAAGCGATCCTCTTGCCTTAGCTTCCCAAGTAGGTGGGACTTCAGGCGTCCACCACAATGCCCAGCTTTTTTGTTGTTGTTGTTGTTGTTGGCAGTTGTCATTGTTCTTCTAGCTGGCCCAGAGCAGGGTTCAAGCCCTCCACCCTCCATGTATATGGGTGAGCCACCGTGCTACGGGCGCCGCCAGGGATGCAGCTGTTTTTAATCACACAAAACACGGTAAAATCCACTCTCCACTTTGGTAATTAAGAAAGTGTGAGCACAGGGCACTGTGGAATCCACTCTTTTGTGACATACTCTTGTGAACCTCAGAGAGCCAGTCTTTCAAGATGGATCCTGAGCGCCATCTGGTCCAAAATGTAAGACACTGCCAACGGCTGTTTGCGAGGAGGATGGCCCACCTCTGCGCAGCCCTACAACTCTCACCTTTTGCCTTTGGGCTTGGAAATCAACCAGAGCGCACCTGCACTGGTCGGCCAACCAGGGCTCAGCTCTATCAACCAATCACCAAGCAGGTTCAAGCTCCAGTGACCAATCAGAACCAACCAAGTTTCAAGCCCTCATTTCCAGAAACAGACCTGCTGGGAACCCGCCCGGGGAACTTTTGCTTTCACACCTCAGTCTTTTCCTTGGTCTCTGGAATCTGCACCTTCCTTTTACACCAGAGGCTGAGTTTCCCTCATTTGCTAACTGTTCACTGGGAATACAAGCTCTTTCCCCCAAATGCCTTTTCACAGAAATTTTGGTCACACTGTCATCGCGGATACGAAGTGCTTAAGCACTCGCGGACTCCGTGTTCTGCTTTATTCCAAAAATGTAGGTGCTGATTAAAAAAAAAAAAGTCGCTCCTTCTCCCCCGAAACGTTTTTGTAGCTATCACAGTCCTCGTCTCTTGCTGTAGTTACACAGTTGCTCAGGAAAGCAAAGAACGAGAGGACTGTGTGGGCGCGGAGACCTCGGCTCGACTTTACGCGGCTGCCGGGTTCCAGTCGTCAAAGCAACGTCCGGGAAGACGTTGTCTACGCAGAGCTCTGTGCTGCTCAACAAATTAGCTGTTACTTTATCTGTTTGAACTGCTTCGGTCTGCCAGCTGGAGAGGGGGGCTGGTGACAGGAAGCGGGAGATTTGCCATCTGGGTTAGGGGAATCAAATTCTCAGAGAGGCTTGGAGCTGCCCAGAACAGGAAACAGAATAGCCAAAAGCCTTATCTGCTGACCTGATTTCCCACTGCTGATCCCGCTCTTGTTTTCTCTGCTTTATTTAATAAACAATGCAAAGTTTCCCAGGCTGAGTGTATACATTAAAAGTCCCTCTTCCCTCAGTTACGAGCACACGCACACACACAAACTCTACCAGTTGAGTCCGATATTTGTTCTTGGGTCTGTGTATTACTAAAAATCACAAGCACTTAAAATAATTTGAGACCATTATTTCATGATATCTAATTATATAGTCTCATGTGGCTTCCCTGGCCAGGCATTATCTGTATTACTGTTCAGGGAAGTGGCCCAAGTTCAATGTTAATTAAATTTATGATTAAAAACAGCACAACCAAACAGGCTTAAAGTCCTATCTGTATTAATATGGTTTGTAGATACTGCAAGATAAAGAGAATACTGTTTATGAGCATAAATTCACATCTCAAATGTAAATCGCATGAACTTTATTTTTAAGACCAAGTAAAACTCTAGTGAATACATTTATTCTCAGATTTGCTGATCAGAATATCTAAACGACCTTGTTTCCATCTCCCTTGTGTCATCATGAGTTTAGTAACCTCTTAGAAGAAACATTTGGAAAACCAGAAAGCAGATGGCTAGGAACAGCCAAAGCACTCTGTAAAAAAACAACAGGCAAGCCAGACGTGGTGGCTCACGTGAGCCTGTAATCTCAGCACTGTGGGAGGCCAATGCAGGTGGACTACATGAGCACAGGAGTTCCAGATCAGCCTGAGCAAGAGCCAGACCCTGTCTCTGAAAATAGCCCAGCATGGTGGCAGGCACCTGTAGTCCCAGCTACTCAGGAAGCTGAGGCAGGAGGATTACTTGAGCCCAGGAGTTTGAGGTTGTCGTTACCTATGATGCCATGGCACTCTACCAAAGGTGACAAAGTGAGACTTTGTTTCCAAAAAAAAAAATGACAGAGTACTTATACGTCATTAGGAAAAGATTTTGTGGTCAGCGTGGTAGTTGACACCTGTAATCCTAACACTTTGGGAGGCAGGTAGATGGCTTGAGCTCAGGATTTCAAGACTAGTCTACTAAAAATACAAAAGACTATCCAGGTGTTGTGGTGGACACCTGTAGTCTCAGCTACTCAAGAGACTGAGGCAAGAGGATTGCTCAAGCCCAGGAGTTTGAGGTTGCTGTGAGATATGATGATGCCACAGCACTCTAGCCAGGGCAACAGAGTGAGACTGTCTCAAAAAAAAAAAGTTTGTGTGTGTGTGTGTGTGTTAAGATTAAAAAAAAAAAAGCGCAAGCTAATTACATTAAAATAAAAACTGTAAAGAGTAAAATGCAAATCAAATTGGGAGAAGATATTTGCCACACATCACTGACAGAGGGTTAGTATTTGGAGGATTTCGTAAACCTGTGAAAAACTTTAACTTCACTAGTATTCTGGAAAATAGGAAGGGAGAGTTAAATGCAATTAAAGTACAGTTTCACACACACCACGTTAGTAAAATATTTAGTCGACAATACCGTGTATGGCCAGGATGTGCAATCGCTGGAATACA